GCCGTGACCGGGAGACTCATGGGCGGCGCACAATTGGCCCAGCGTCATCCAGGGTAGGGGAGGGAATGGCCGGCAGGGATGTAGCTCAGTTGATAGAGCATGGCGTTTGCAACGCCAGGGTTGTGGGTTCGATTCCCACGGGGGGCCAGTATAAAAAATTAATAATATATGTATTCACTAACTGTAAGTCGCTCTGGATAAGAGCGTCTGCTAAATGACTAAAATGTAAATGTCTGTATCAGCAGGAGAGCATTTTGTTTAAGATATTAAGCCATTGAAAACCTTTAAACGTTCAGATGTGAAATCACGTCTCACGTTTTCCTAAACTCAATGATAACCACAGGGAATGCAGCCGCAGTAGAAAAATGATCACTTTCAAAACCATAACTCTTTTTTCTTTCTTGTACAGTCTCCAAAGCTAGCAAAAGCCACTGTAAAGAAAATAGAAAAAAGAGAGAACTCCTGGCAAACATAAAATAGCTTGCGTGCGAATATAATATTATGCACAGCTGATTGTAAGATTGGATTTCTCTGTTTTCCTTTGCCTTAATCCTTTTACTTAAGTAGAGCACTTGAGTTTTCTTTAGCGGCAGCTCGAGTTTCCTTCAAACATTCCCTTTGCTCTGCTGGAGCAAATTAAACTTAGATAATCAAATGTGGGTCATTTATTTCTGTAGTTCTTGGGATACTTTGGTGAAAATACTATAACACATGTAAGCCTGTGCATGTGTGATTGTTAACATACACAAACCCTGTACTGTCTGTTCCTTTGAGTGCACATCCCTCAACGTTACACAAATAAATGAGAAGACAAATGAGAAGAAAACGCACAGTGAAATACCTTAAACCCAGAAACACTACTTCTAATGTCCTATAGTGACTCAGGGGGGTCTGTTTGTGAACAATGCCCTCTCTCTCTCTCTCTCTCTCTCTCTCTCTCTCTCTCTCTCTCTCTCTCTCTCTCTCTCTCTCTCTCTCTCTCTCTCTCTCTCTCTCTCTCTCTCTCTCTCGCTGTGATTAATGACTAAGTAATAGTCAGAGTCTGCGCCAGGGCTTTTATGTGAGTTGTGCCTGCGGGCTGGGCCGGGCGGCATGGCCCTGGTAGGGTATAATAGACATTGCTGTGTGCCAACCTGTGGCGGCAGGGGCATGGAAACCTCATCAAACCCAGCCCTCTGTCTCCCTGGTCTCTGCCTCAGCACAACAGCCCTGATCCCATCATTATAAAACCATACCAAGACTAATTTACTGATTGAGGATAGAAGTGGTTTCGTGGCAAGTTCAACTCATGCGGATCCAGAAAGAGGGATTTTGGACGGGCAGGGTGGGGTTGAGAGGTGATAATGATGTCACAATGCAGACCCAGTGAGAATGGTACAAAGAGGTATCATTAATTGGCAGAGATACAGTACTTGTCTTTGAGTGATTGAAGCCAGGTTCTTTCATGTCTGTTTATGGTTGTAACAGATATTATCTCATTTAATTTGTTTTAATGTTAATGGTAACATTTGTTTAGATTTTTTTTTTAAATTCAGGAACACCTTGGGTTACAGTTGATTTATCATCTGTGTATTTAAAGTGTTGGTGGTCTGTCTGTTTGTCACAGCATTTAGGTTAGGGAATCTGTTGGGCACCACAATTTTTGTGGTTGTACTATCTAGCGGCAGATAGCCTAGTGGGCCAGTAACTGGAAGGTCATTGGTTCAAATCCCCGAGCCGGCTAGGTGGAAAATCTGCCGTTCTGCCCTTGAGCAAGGCAGTTAACCCCCAACAACTGCTCCCCGGGCATTGATGACGACAATTAAGGCAGCCCCCCGCACATCTCTGATTCATAGGGGTTAGGTTACATTTCGGTTGAATGCATTTAATTGAGCAACTGACTAGGTATCCCCTTCCCCTAGTGGGAAATCCTAAACATGAGTCATGAGTCATAAGAGTCTTCTCATTGCAGTGTTTACATAGGCCAGTGAGAGGATTGTTTTCAGTCAACAGTGAAGAGATGCATCCTCCAGTGGCCAACAGGAGTACTTCACTTTAACAATGACCAAGTAACACAGTAGTAAGTTATTAGTAATATTTTTTATATTAAAATGAATTTTACAATTAAGAAACAAATGGTAACAAATAAGTTGGCAATTATCAATACATTGCATATACTATACTTGGCTAAATACAAGTGAACTACACTAAATTATATATTTATGTGGAAATAAAGGCTTACAAAGAGAATACATGTCTAACAGATGTTGTAAAGCCACTAGACATAATAACAAAACATAACAAACATACAACAAACAAATGCAAATACGTATATATTCATAATATATTGCCGCTGAACTCTGCAACTGCCTGATGTTGAAGACTGTTGAAGAGTGCGCTTAAAGAATAGCTACAGTTGAAGTCGGAAGTTTACATACACTTAGGTTGGGGTCATTAAAACTTGTTTTTCAACCACTCCACACATTTCTTGTTAACAAACTATAGTTTTGGCAAGTTGGTTACGACATCTACTTTGTGCATGACACAAGTAATTTTTCCAATTGTTGACAGACAGACTATTTCACTTATAATTCACTGTATCACAATTCCAGTGGGTCAGAAGTTTACATACACTAAGTTGACTGTGCCTTTAAACAGCTTGGAAAATTCCAGAAAATTATGTCATGGCTTTAGAAGCTTCTGATTGGCTAATTGACATAATTTGAGTCAATTGGAGGTGTACCTGTGGATGTATTTCAAGGCCTACCTTCACGCAGTGCCTCTTTGCTTGACATTATGGGAAAATCAAAAGAAATCAGCCAAGACCACAGAATTTTTTTAAAAATAGTAATAGTCTGGTTCATCCTTGGGAGTAATTTCCAAACACCTGAAGGTACCACCTTCATCTGTACAAACAATAGTACGCAAGTATAAACCCCATGGGACCACGCAGCCGTCATACCGCTGAGGAAGAAGACGCATTCTGTCTCCTAGAGATGAACGTACTTTGGTGCGAAAAGTGCAAATAAATCCCAGAACAACAGCAAATAAACTTGTGAAAATGCTGGAGGAAACAGGTACAAATGTATCTATATCCACAGTAAAACGAGTCCTATATCGACATAACCTGAAAGACCGCTCAGCAAGGAAGAAGCCACTGCTCCAAAACCACCATAAAAAAGCCAGACTACGGTTTGCAACTGCACATGGGGACAAAGATCGTACTTTTTGGAGAAATGTCCTCTGGTCTGATGAAACAAAAATAGAACTGTTTGGCCATAATGACCATCGTTATGTTTGGACGAAAAAGGGGGTGGCTTGCAAGCCGAAGAACACCATCCCAACCGTGAAGCACGAGGGTGGCAGCATCATGCTGTGGGGGTGCTTTGCTGCAGGAGGGACTGGTGCACTTCACAAAATAGATGGCATCATGAGGAAGGAAAATGATGTGGATATATTGAAGCAACATCTCAAGACATCAGCCAGAAAGTTAAAGCTTGGTCGCAAATGGGTCTTCCAAATGGACAATAACCTCAAGCATACTTCCAAAGTTGTGGCAAAATGGCTTAAGGACAACAAAGTCAAGGTATTGGAGTGGCCATCACAAAGCCATGACCTCAATCCTATAAAACATTTGTGGGCAGAACTGAAAAAGCGTGTGCAAGCAAGGAGGCCTACAAACCTGACTCAGTTACACCAGCTCTGTCAGGAGGAATGGGTCAAAATCCACCCGAAACGTTTGACCTAAGTTAAACAATTTAAAGGCAATGCTACCAAATACTAGTTGAGTGTATGTAAACTTCTGACGCACTGGGAATGTGATGAAATAAATAAAAGCTGAAATAAATCATTCTCTCTACTATTATTCTGACATTTCACATTCTTAAAATAAAGTGGTGATCCTAACTGACCTAAGACAGGGAATTTTTACTAGGATTAAATGTCAGGCATTGTGAAAAACTGAGTTTAAATGTATTTGGCTAAGGTATATGTAAACTTCCGACTTCAACTGTATATGGCTTGGGGCTAATATACAGTATACTGTATAGTATACCCTTCCCTTTCTTTTAAATCAGCTTTAATACGAGAAACATTATCAACATTTCAAGGCAGGCACTTCGAAAGCTTGACACGCATTATATTGTATATCAGCTGGTTAAAGCAACAAGCATAAGAACAATTGCTAAATATAATTTAAAAGCCAAAGCTAAATATGAATATACCCAATACATAGAATAGCTCCCTTTACTATGTGTAATTTTCCCCTCTAGTTGGCCGGGTTTAGTTTCCTCCATATTCCTCTCACCTGTCTTGCCCTTTCATATGAGCAGAATGAGGAAGTAGGTCAAGGGAAATGAAAGGTGGGTGGCCATATTGATTTAGTCTCAGAGGGAGACAAGAGATGAGTGATGACGGGAGACTTCAGTGTCAGGGGACATTTACAATGGGAGGATCTGCCATGTTTCTGTCCATCATCGACTGACATGGAGTTCCATTTGTTGAATATGCCGAGTCATCATGGCAGCCTCGTGGGAAGTTCTAGTTCCATGTCTAAAGTAACTGTGGTTACTATACTAGTCCTTATACAACTTCTACGTCTCCTGCGTCTCCTATAGATGCAGTATTAGGGCCCGCATTCCTCCACAGTTTGTATTATGACCACAAGACGTTAGCGTATGGCTTTGTGAAGTTTAGATAATACCAAAATAAAACAAAAGCAAAGAAAAACAAAAAAGGGGTTGACTACTATTGATATAACATTATCAACATACTAAATCAGAGTATTGTCAAATTGTAATGACATTTGGATACCAATAGCATTACAATGGGTATCATCTGAAAGCACATGCCTTGCATGGTTAGTTATACTGTACATGTTTGGGTATGCATTCATTCTTTATAGCCTACTCTGCAACCAATGCAGACATTTCGATGAAACTTTTCCTCTGAAATTTTATTTGTACATTTACATATTAGTCATTTAGCAGGCGCTCCTGTCCAGAGCAACTTACAGTATTGAATCCATACATTTTACACACTGGTCCTCCTTGGCAATCAAACCCACAACCCTAGCGTTGCAAGTGCCACGCTCTACCAACTGAGCTACACAGGACATTTGTACACTGCTTCATTCATTCTACAGAACAAGCAAACACAAACACACACGCACGCACGCCTTGCACACACACACACACACAGTCATATTCATCGCAGACTTTCGCAGTCATAAACACAAGTGCACTCACATCGTTTTACATAAAATCTTTATATAAGAATATAGATTCAATTTCTGTATTTACACTCCATACAAAAATTTAGTACGTTATGACTTTATTTTTGTGTACAATATTAGTTTTTTGTTTGTTTTCCCATGAGTGAAAACTTGAATGGTGTCCTATCACCATCCAACGATAATGTAAGTGCACAAGAAACAAACGTAAAAAGAAATGAATACGGCCTGCTTCATTAGAATATCACTATGGGAATTGGTCATGAACTTAAAAAGCCAAAACTCCATTTTAACACAAGCCAAATGCACTAGTGAGGATTCATACTTCATTCATATCATTGAAGGCATTTAAACAAACAAGTTGTGACAGATACTGTTTTACACAGTAATAAAAACAAAGACAAGGCATCAACAAACAAAACAGAAGACAACTCAAAAATACAAAGAAAACCAGTTAAAGTTGAAGTTGCTGCTTTTTGTTCTGTTGCTGACATAAGTAACAAGGGGTAACTAAAGGAGTCCTTGTATTTACTGCAAACACTGATATGGGTAGATGGATGGTGTGTTTGACCACACATGATGAGGGGATGGCTTGTCTTCACGACACCCTCACTGAGACATCTCTTAAGGCAGAGTGTTGTCTATGAACGAATACAGATGGATGGATGGATGGATGAATAGATGCATGGGTGGCTTCCTCCTCTCTCAGTCTGACATTTTTACCTCGTAAGGCAATGTGATGCATGTTTAGAAGTTGCAATAGTTGGTTTGGTTGTGCTCCGTAAAGCACATGGTTCCATTTACAAGGGGTGGTCAAGAGAATATTCCATTGCTGTCTATAACAGGGAGGCTTGGAATCTGTTGGGGAAAAAGTATGACAAAAGATATAATCAGATGCCTGGCTTGTTTCATAAAGTTTCATAAAGTAACAATTCTTCATATCAAGAAATGACTTCATAACTAGTTAGGGCCCTGAGTTTTCCTAACTGCGTGACTTGACTAGGAAAACCAGTTCATGTGGTAAGGAAAAACTCACTGCTCCATCCATAACAGTAGCAGCAGAAGAAGAGAGGGTGCTTAGTTACCTGTCTGTCTGACTCCGTTGCATCCAGCCAGGTACTGCTGCATGGCCAGTAGGGCCTCAGGGGTGGTGAGGCCCTACTGGCCACACCAGCGGGCGAGACGGGGGGCTGGTGCTGGTGTTGTCCTGGATGATGGCTGACGTACCCACCACTGGCTCACTGGGGCCCCACTGGAAGTAGCAGGACCCCTGTGGAGGACTCCGGTCCTGGGGGTCCACTTTCCTCCTCTGGCATACAGACAACGTGGGGTCCAGCCCGATGCCATTCACGTGGCTGTTTCCATTAGGGAGGGGGGGTGAGATGTTCTCAAACATGCAGCTGCTGGATGGAGCAGGCTGGCCATTGGCCAGTCCCCCCTGCTGGGGTTGGTGATACAGTCCGTTGGGGTTCTGTGGCCAAAGGCCTGTGAGGGGGACTCTTTGGGTCTCTATGGCTTGACTGTGACAGTCAAGGATGAAATTGTGTCCATTCGGCATTATTCCATTCTGCATTGTGCTGGCGGGGGGTGGCAGCTGCTGCTGCTGCTGGTTATGGGGCCACAACCCCACTCTCTGGATTTTGAGTGACTGAAATGGTGCAGTGTTTCCCTGAATGCAAGCAGTCGGAAGGGGATTAGATAGATTGAGATTGCTAGATTCAATCTGGGGTGAAACAAAGCTATTACTGGGAATCATGGATGCCCAGGCATCCACCAGACTAGGTGCTAAATGGTTGGACTGTGGAACAGAGATCTGCTGTGGTCCGTTTGGTGCCATTGTAGCTGGCAAGCCATTATGAGTGAAAAACTGTGTAGGTGACTGGTTAGAGTGGACCTGGCCAGTGATACCCTGAGGGCTTCCCATGTGGTTGTTTGGTGCCTGAGCACAGGATCCAGTCATGCTGGTGCCAAACGTGACAGACCCTTTCTGGCCTGAGCTGTGTGGGATACTGAGCTCGGGGAGCTCCAGAGAGGGGGTGAAGATGTCGTTGAGCTGTAGCTGCTGCAGGGTGGGGATGTTCAGGTCCATCTGAGGGATCTGGGGGCCGAAGTGGGAGAGCCTCTGGGTGCTGTTGAACACCTGGTGTGGTCCTGCCTGGTTCTGTCCTGCCAAACCATCTGGTCCATTGCCTGTTACCTGAACATTTAGACCATTCAATAGGGAGCCATTATGGATAAAGCTGCGGCTGTCATGCAATCCGGGCTTGCACTGTCCGACACCTGTAGGGCTGACCACTCCTGTGAATGGCCCACCCTGGTTGTTGTTGTTAAACTCTGTGAACAGGTTAAGGTTAGGGTTGTTGTTGACCATAATGGAGCAGTTGGGCTGGTTACCGCTCCCCTCGCTGCTCTCCTTGAACAAGGCTTCCTCCACGTAAGAGAAGATGTCGTTGGTCATGATGTCATCCAGCTCCAGGGAGGTATCCCTGCCCCCGGTCCCGTTGGAGTCCTGGCTCAGCCTGAGGAGGGCGCTCTCCCACTCCATCAGCTCGACCGCATCCACGTCTAGCCCCTGCAGCGCCGCACACAGGTCCCCGTCCCGCGCCATCTTCTCCAGGGCGTCGATCATGGCCAGCACCGCCCCCTCTTGCTTCACCTCACTGGGGCCATCACCATCATCATGCCCATCGGGCCCCTGGGGCTCCATGCTACTCTGCCATGAGTTACAGGCCACGTTGGTGAGCGTTCGGCTGTCCATGAATGCCTGGTCTATGGGTAGCTGAGGCTCCTGGGGCTGGGTGTAGACGGACTTGTCCTGCTTCAGTAAGGAGCCCAGTAGAGACTCGGGGTCCAGAGACTCTACTTTGCGGATTTTGGGGGAGTTGGTTTGGAACTCAGTGGCGTCCAGAGTGGGGCCGGTCTCGTACAGCAGGGCCTCCCCGGTGGTGAAGCTGAAGGGCAGCTGCATCTTCCTCTGGCGTAGATGCTCCTCTCCCTCGGAATTCCTGTATCATATGTATGAATGACTGAATGAATGAATATACAATCATATATTTTGAGAAACAATACAAATTATGATACAGACAGATTGTAGATTCAGACACTGATAACTCACAGTAAAGCTCTCTGGCGTGCGATGATGAAGTCAGGCCTTCCTCCTTTGTAGACGAGCCTGGCATTGGCCTGGACCCAGACCCAGCACCCGGTCTTCTGAAGCAGTCTGAATGTGGTCAGACCACTCTCTCCTGTCTTCATCACTGAGAGAAGAAGATTCATATCATTAGATAAGCATACAAAAAAATATTGATCAAACGAATAAAGAGTTATTATAAATGATGAAGAAAACCTACTTCTGACATGGTTGTCTGCGCAGTACATCATATCAGCAGCGTGGATGAACTGATATCCAGAGCCTCTCATACACAACTCCATCTCTGAGTAGCCCAGGACAACCTTCCCCCTGTAGAGAGATGACAAGACAGGACACACCATGTGAGCATTAGTGGAAAGTACAGCACATAACACATCATGTTCACCTGTGAAGTCTTCCCTCAAACATGTTGAATATATACATTAAATTGTGACAGATTTAAAGAACAGTCCCAGTTTGATCAAGTCCTACATTTGATCAAGGCACTTAGGTTAAATACTACCATACGTCCTTCCTAAATGTAGGCCAAGCCTTCCAACTTTTTTGGACCCAGTGAGAATTAGTTTCAGGCCTTTAGAGTCACCTGGCATCAACACCCATGGGGGTGAAGTCGAGCTTGTGTTTGGTCTGGAAGAAAATTGTCTTGCTTCTGATCTCCAAAATGGACGGGGTCTGGACAGGGGTGGCGATGGTGAACAGGCCCAGGTTGGGCTGGCTGCGTGTCCCGTCTTCCCCCTGCATGCTCTGGGCATGGAGGAACTTCAGACGCCCCTGGAAGTTCAGAGCCTGAATATGAGGATAACAAAGGGATGTTAGACTCAAACATGGCTAGTGATTGTATAAAAAGCTTAGCCAAACTTTGCTAAGATCCACCACTCACTTTATACTGTTATATTAATCAACAGTGCTGGTACAGTGGCTTGCGAAAGTATTCACCCCCTATGGCATTTTTGCCCACTCTTCAAGGCAAAACTGCTCCAGCTCCTTCAGGTTGGATGGGTTCCGCTGGTGTACAGCAATCTTTAAGTCATACCACAGATTCTCAATTGGATTGAGGTCTGGGCTTTGACTAGGCCATTCCAAGACATTTAAATGTTTCCCCTTAAACCACTTGAGTGTTGCTTTAGCGGTATGCTTAGGGTCATTGTGCTGCTGGAAGGTGAACCTCCGTCCCAGTCTCAAATCTCTGGAAGACTGAAACAGGTTTCCCTCAAGAATTTCCCTGTATTTAGCGCCATCCATCATTCCTTCAATTCTGACCAGTTTCCCAGTCCCTGCCAATGAAAAACATCCCCACAGCATGATGCTGCCACCACCATGCTTCACTGTGGGGATGGTGTTCTCGGGGTGATGAGAGGTGTTGGGTTTGCGCCAGACAGTGTTTTCCTTGATGGCCAAAAAGCTCAATTTTAGTCCCATCTGACCAGAGAACCTTCTTCCATATGTTTGGGGAGTCTCCCACATGCCTTTTGGCGAACACCAAACATGTTTGCTTATTTTTTTCTTAAAGCAATGGCTTTTTTCTGGCCACTCTTCTGTAAAGCCCAGCTCTTTAGAGTGTACGGCTTAGTAGTCCTATGTGGTCCTATGGACAAATACTCCATTATCCGCTGTGGAGCTTTGCAGCTCCTTCAGGGTTATCTTTGGTCTCTTTGTTGCCTCTCTGATTAATGTCCTCCTTGCCTGGTCCGTGAGTTTTGGTGGGCGGCCCTCTCTTGGCAGGTTTGTTGTGGTCCCTGCCATATTCTTTCAATTTTTTAAGAATGGATTTAATGGTGCTCCGTGGGATGTTCAAAGTTTCTGATATTTTTTTATAACCCAACCCTGATCTGTACTTCTCCACAACTTGTCCCTGACCTGTTTGGAGAGTTCCTTGGTCTTCATGGTGCCGCTTGCTTGGTGGTGCCCCTTGCTTAGTGGTGTTGCAGACTCTGGGGCCATTCAGAACAGGTGTATATATACTGAGATCATGTGACACTTAGATTGCACACAGGTGGACTTTATTTAACTAATTATGTGACTTCTGAAGGTAATTGGTTGCACCAGATCTTATTTAGGGGCTTCATAGCAACGGAGGTGAATACATATGCACGCACCACTTTTCCGTTATTTATCTTTTAGAATTTTTTGAAACAAGTTATTTTTTTCATTCCACTTCACCAATTTGGACTATTTTGTGTATGTCCATTACATGAAATCCAAATAAAAATCTATATAAATTACAGGTTGTAATGCAACAAAATAGGAAAAACGCCAAGGGGGCTGAATACTTTGGAAGGCACAAAGGGAGGGTATTTTACTGGAAACTTTCAAAGCTTACCAGTAAACTACCAGAATTTTGGTAACATTCAAGGATTTTATGTAATCTATCAAAATACATCTAGTGGTCCTTTTGGGTACTTCAGATTATCACTAGTTTCTGTAATTATATCTGGCCCTCTCTCTGTTCTCATCACGTGTCAAATATATTAAATAATTAAATACGATTATTTAAAAAAATATATAGAATGACAAAGCTGTAAAACATTATCCTAAATATAAACCATCAACTTAGTGAATAACATTGGTGGTTAATATGAGGGTTTCAGCATGATATATCCTTCATATTCTTTTTACACACTTATATATTTTACTATGTCAATATGTATTTGTTTTCAATATTTTGTAAAAAAAAGTCAATATTTGGACAAGTTGCAGAGGTAATTGAAAATAATGCCATTGTTGATTTGATGCTTTTTCCATTAATTCTCTTGAACCTTATGGTCAATGTACTAGAAACTCATGGACAATATGGACACAGATATAAAAAAATGTATACTATATATGAATACATTTTTTAAAAAAGTTATTGAAGTATAAATTACCAAAGTTACAATAGATTGCAATAGAGTTTCTGTTAATTACCAAAATTACTGAAGATTCTAGTAACTTTGGTAAATTACCGGTAGCTATGCAACCCTAGTTCTTATGACACAATAAAGTGTATGAAGTACTTTCTGGTGATAATACAAAGTGGATGTTGTCTCTACAGCCCTATAGATGAGTGACTCACCAGGAAGCCAGAGGAGTTGTCCAGGAGGCAGCGGAAGCGACACACAAAGTTCCTCTCCAGGAAGGAGGAGTTCTCTGGGGGGAGCTGCTCAGGGTTGTAGGTCACAATGTTCCTGGTGATGTCACTGCTGCTTGCCATGCCTGAACATAAAAACAGGGTGAAAGATCGTATAATGAGAGCTTATCATCAAAAACATGGGGCAAAACTTAACTTGAAATATACACACCTAGCTCGAACAGGCTCCCATTGACATCAATTGATGACTTCCACTGAAAAAACAACCCAAACTGTCCACAACCCATTCTCTCCAGATCACTCACCGTCTCCTCCCTGCTCTGGGTCAAAGGGCTTGGGGTTGAGGGCGAAGTGAAGCTGTCGTCTGAACATTGCTCTGTCGTCTGTGTGGATCAGCTCAAACACACTCTGGTGGACCACATCTGACTACAGACAGACAAAGAGAGAGGGCAAACTCAATGATTGTACTCCATCAAAGTTAATGTAAAATTCCACCCAAAAAATATCTTTTGGTATTTGTTTCATTAGTCCATTGTTGAGATAGTCCGAAATTGTTTTGTATGTCAGCAATCAAGTTTTCAATGTATACACTGAGTGTACAAAACATTAGGAACACATGCTGTTTCCTTGACATAGACTGACCAGTTGAATCCAGGTGAAAGCTATAATCCCTTGTTGATGTCACCTGTTAAATCCACTTAAATCCGTGTAGATGAAGAGGAGGAGACAGGTTAATAACCTCTACTGGATCGGTGTCCCGTATACGGGACGGTTGAGCTAACGTGCGCTAATGTGATTAGCATGACTGTTGTACAGTAAGTAACAGCAAACTTTCCAGGACATAGACATATCTTATATGGGCAGAAAGCTTACATTCTTGTTAATCTAACTGCACTGTCCAATTTACAGTAGCTATTACAGTGAAAAGATACCATGCTATTGTTTGAGGAGAGTGCACAACAACAACAAAAACGTATCACGGCAACTGGTTTGATACATTCACTTCTGAAGGTAAATAATGTACACTACTGTTCAAAAGTGAAGAGGCAACTCCGGGATGCTGACCTACTAGGCAGAGTTGCAAAGAAAAAGCCATATCTCAGTCTGGCCAATAAAAATAAAAGATTAAGATGGGCAGTCTGAGATATGGCTTTTTCTTTTGCAACTCTGCCTAGAAGGTCAGCATCCCGGAGTTGCCTCTTCACTGTTGACGTTGAGACTGGTGTTTTGCGGGTACTATTAAATGAAGCTGCCAGTTGAGGACCTGTGAGGCGTCTGTTTCTCAAACTAGACACTCTAATGTATTTGTCCTCTTGCTCAGTTGTGCACCGGGGCCTCCCACTCCTCTTTCTATTCTGATTAGAGCCAGTTTGCGCTGTTCTGTGAAGGGAGTAGTACACAGCGTTGTACGAGATCTTCAGTTTCTTGGCAATTTCTCGCATGGAATAGCCTTCATTTCTCAGAACAAGAATAGACTGACGAGTTTCAGAAGACATTTCTTTGTTTCTGGCTATTTTGAGCCTGTAATCAAACCCACAATTGCTGATGCTCCAGATACTCAACTAGTCTCAAGAAGGCCAGTTGTATTGCTTCTTTAATCAGCACAACAGTTTTCAGCTGTGCTAACATAATTGTAAAAGGGTTTTCTAATGATCAATTAGCCTTTAAAAATGATAAACTCGGATTAGCAAACACAACGTGACATTGGAACACAGGACTGATGGTTGCTGATAATTGGACTGTACGCCTATGTAGATATTTCATAAAAAATCAGTCGTTTCCAGCTATAATAGCCATTTATAGCTCAGTTGCAAACGCCATGCTCTATCAACTGAGCTACATCCCTGCCGGCCATTCCCTCCCCTACCCTGGACAATGCAGGGCCAATTGCGCGCCGCCCCATGGGTCTCCCGGTCGCGGCCGGCTACGACAGAGCCTGGACGATCCATCATGTATGACATTCCAGGGAGTGTGTAAACTTACATTTTGTATTACCATATCATTTTTGTATATTTTTATAGTTATGTACTTGAAAATGTATCAATTGACCAATTTGGCACATTTGGGCAGACTTGATACAAAATAGTCCAGTATTGCAATGCTTCACTGAATCAATCTGAAACTTAGCACACACACAGCCATCTAGTGGCCAGAATCTAAATTGCGCCTAAACTGCAATATTATATTGTGGTCTTTCTCTTGCATTTCAAAGATGGAACAAAAAAATTAATAGAAAACGCATGTTTTTTGGTTTGTATTATCTTTTACCAGATCTAATATGTTACATTCTCCTACATCAATTTCATATTTCCACAAACTTCAAAGTGGTTCCTTCCAGATGGTATCAAGAATATGCATATCCTTGCTTCAGGTCCTGAGCTACAGGCAGTTAGATTTGGGTATGTCATTTTAGGTGAAAATTGAAAAAAAGGGTCTGATCCTTAAGAGGTTAAAGAAGGATTTTTAAGACTTGAGACAATTGAGACATGGATTGTGTATGTGTGCCATTCAGAGGAGGAATGGGCAAGACAAAATATTTAAGTGCCTTTGAACGGGGTATGGTAGAAGGTGCCAGGCACACCGGTTTGAGTGTGTCAAGAACTGCAACGCTGCTGGGTTTTTCACGATCAACAGTTTCCCATGTGTATCAAGAATGGTCCACCACCCAAAGGACATCCAGGCAACTTGACACAATTGTAGGAAGCATTGGAGTCAACATGGGCCAGCATCCATGTGGAACACTTTGGACACCTTGTAGAGTCCATGCCTCAACGAATTGAGGCTGTTCTGAGGGCAAACTCAATATTAGGAAGGTGTTCCTAATGTTTGTACACTCACTGTATAACTTTCAAAATACTGAAATACAACTGGTATGATGGTTCATTCTGGCTTTATTTCTGTATTTTAAAGGTTATATATCTTGAAAATGTGATTGCTGACATGCAAAACATTTTGGGACTACAATGGGACTATCAACAATGGACTAATGAAACAAATACCAAAATATAGTTTTGGGGTGGTTTTCCTTTAAGTCTTATGACTATGGATGTAGCCTCCATTATTATGGTAGACACATAATAATAATGGTGTCTACAGGCCATATCAGGGTTACTTAATGACATGTGTACATTACAAGCAGTCTGGCCTCCACTGGAATGGACAACTAGGAGCCTTTAATAGGACCTAAAAGAGGAAATGCAACTGTGCTGCCCACCACTGAGAAACTATAACGGCAATGTAATGGAGCTCAGCTTATGTCTGTTATTAAGCAAACAAACCCTGAAGCCACAAGACTAAAGTGGGTCCTGGACACTGTTTGTTTCTGGTTTCATCTGAATCACTTGTAATTAAAAATTCTGGCGCTCTCTTCAGAACAAGAGGAACAATGTGGTTTGTGGTCATAGTGGACTCTTGGAACCAACAGAGTAACATCACATTGCCACATTGACCATCAGTCAGATGGCACTGATTGTTACGGATACAGGTATCCTGTGTCTTTTTGTGTTTTTCCTCTCCTTCTGCCCTAATCACAGGTGTCCTGTATGTTCCTGATTGGTGGTCGTTGGGGTGTCTGCTGATTGCTGAGGTGGACCAATCAGTGGACATTCCTCTGCATTGCACCACCTGTTTCTGGTTTTTCAATCACACATCCCATTGTTTAAAAGCCGGTCAGTTGTGTTTGTAGAGAGAGACTATTTTCCGTATGCGAGTATGGATACTGTGGTGTCCTGTGTTTTGTGTACGCACTCATTTGCTGGTTACTCTGTTTGGTAACTTTGTTGGGTGTTTCTGGGAAAAGGGGAATTTAAGCAAGTTGCCCTTGGGCATACATTACCCGTAGGAAGAAAACTGTCTAAAAACACTAGTTAGACCTGAGCGGACCACCCACTGTATTTTTGTATGATTAGCAGTAGCTTAGCGGTTCCTGAGGCAGGCAAGATCAGTTTAGTTTTTTTTTACACTATTGTTTCATTTCTTGGGTCCTGCTCTGCCCTTTTTCCCAAACCTTTACCGTGTGTTCAAAAATAAACATTTTATGTTTGACGGTAGTTTATGGTTGTCGTGTAGTTTTTGTTCTCACTGTTCCATGTCACGATTCTAATTTGCATGAATTATGTTACGGGTCTCTTGTCCATCCACCCTAGACGTTTAAAGCCACGGGGTTCGTAACACTGATATACAGCTAACTGTCAAAATAAAGGAAACACCAACATAAAGTGTCTTAATAGGGCATTGGGCCACCACGAGCCCCCAGAACAGGTTTAATGTGCCTTGGCATAAATTCTACAAGTGTCTGGAACTCTATTGGAGGGATGCAACACCATTCTCCCACAATAAATTCCATAATTTGTTTTATTTATGGTGGTAGACAACGCTGTCTCAGGTGCCGCTCCAGAATCTCCCATAAGTGTTCAATTGGGTTGAGGTCTGGTGATTGAGACACACACACATCCTTTAAGCCCCCTTTGGTCCTTTGGAACCCGACTTTCAAAGTCACTGAGATCTCTTCTAGCCATGGTAGCCAAAATAATGGGCAACTGGGCATTTTTATACATGACCCTCAGCATGATGGGATATTTTCATTGCTTAATTAACTCAGGAACCACACCTGTGTGGAAGCACCTGCTTTCAATATACCTTGTATCCCTCAATACTCAAGTATTTCCTTGATTTTGGCAGTGACCTGTATTTTCCTTTGGTCAAATTTAATTAACTGAAACAATGCATTTCTACTGAAAACCAATGTGAAAGGCTTTGTGCGAACTGTAACTCTAAATATAATCCAACTGCTTCTGATTTGTGGCAGTAGTAAACTCTGTGTGTGTTTGTTGTGCTGATCACCCAGCGGGGACAGTCCATGAGTTACAACTCATAAAGGGTAAAAGTAACCTTCAAAGGATTGTATTAAGACTGGCATCCCTCTCAGTGGGGCCTCATAGTTACCTGTCAATACTGAATAGACTCTATACTATATAACTGTAACGAAGGAGGGGATAACGCATAACTATATTGGATGAGGAGGTCAATAACTGTCAAGCTAGTATGATTATTCAAGCAAACTATTTTCAACGCACAACAGGACGCAGTCATAGCAAACTGTAGTTTAAAATAAATAATCTTTGATCTATTTTTGTTGAAAGACATCCTTGTCCTGTCTCTATATACAGTATGGTCAGTTGCAAGTTACTATAACATACGCTATAGGGTTCACCACATATGTTTAAAATGTATGCTTAAGTTCTGAGTTGTGGGTCTGTAATCTTACTATATGGATGTGGCTGCAATGACAAAGGATCAACGCATTACCCCAGCTATACGTCATTTTCTTGTGGGCTTCGCGGAACAGTATAGATGCAGTAGCGATAATGACAGAAAGCATGGCTAACACAAAGCACATGTGTACAGTAGATCATATAGCTCAGTATGTAGAAGTAGGCTAGTACATCTACAACAATGGGATCTCTCTTCGTCTGTGGAAAAGAATGTCATGATCATGGTTACATAAGGAATTCTCAAACTATCATTTCCAAGAGAAAGGCAAAGCGCAACTGCAAATTTGCTACAAGACGCTTCCTTCAACACCTGCCTATTTTGGTTAGTTAACAGGTGGTTGAGTTGCACATTCGCTTTCTTTGATGATAAATGGAAATCTGGATTGTTACCAAGTTATGCAGTGGGCCGTAGCTCTCCAGCAAAGATGGTGCCTTGCCTTGCTCACATTGATTAACAACAAATGTTGCCTTTGGTTCTCTGTCTCTTAGAAGATTGATTCTCAAAGGGATTCAACTATCCAGAGCAGAGATTCAACAAAACCCATTGTATCCCCCTAATTCCTAAATTTACTGCTACGCTGTTCCCTGGTAATCTGTTTCCTCCATTCAAATGTCTTGCCTTTGTATTTCAATATCAATCTTCACGACACCCGATAATTATTTTTTACAAAGACAGAAAGTGGTGAGGTTATGTAGTGATGAGGACTATGGTTTACAAATGTGATGTGATGTTACAGTTGTGTTATGCTACAGATGTTGGAGTTGTTACCTGATGGAAGCCCAGGTAGTCTTGGATAGTAGGAGAGGCATAGAACACATGTCCTTCAGCTGTGACCACCAGCACAAAGCCGTTCAGAGCCTGCAAGACCAAATGCAGTGATAAAACAGTAAAACACTCACTTATATACACTCTCACACATATACAAACACGCAGCACGCACGAACATGCGCACAAGCACGCACGCACATACACACACACTGATAATTCTCTCACTTTCACTGTAGTCGAGCTACATCCACAAACACATCATTTAGAGTGTTGCATTAAAGAGGACATTTTGTTTATCTGGTGTTATTATCATCTGGCAACCTGTTTACTTTCTATCAGTTTGCCAACAACTGCCTCTGTTGCTCTGCCTTCACAGATCCCTCAGCATTGACTGATGATCATAACAGCCTCCATCGTGAGAGAGGAAACCCAAACATGCCATTCATCGCTTGGTGTGAAAATGTACCTGACATCTGAGCGTGAGTAAACAGTGTGCTAGAGAACTAGGGAGCGTTCGCTTTGTTTAGTGTAGTAAACCGTGACCAGGCCTTGGCATAAAGCACCAGGGCAACCTATTTCACCTGTCAGAACTTCCTGCTAAATGGATGGTCCTGGATTATAACTCAATCCACCTGGATTAACAAACAAATAAACAATGTCTGGCTCTTTATCTACTGTCAGTCTGAGCCAGTCAGCCAGTCAATCAGTCAGACAGTCAGACAGTCAGTCAGACAGTCAGTCAGCCAGTCAGCCACACAATATGGGCCCGACCAAAACCGCAACATTTCTGTCTGTCTGTACGTTGGTCCTGTGAAGTCAGTGGTCTGTACTGTACTGTCCTGTACTGTATTGTACCTTTAGTAGTAGGTCCCCCTTGGAGAAGGTTGTGGCTTCCATCCCATTAATGTTCAGCCCATTCCCACTGGGAAACAGGTCACTGCTTTTCTTCATGGTTGCTGCAGACAGAGAGGGGAGGAGGGGGATAGGGGGAGTGGAGGGCGGTAGAGGGGAGGAAAAACAAGCTCACATCAGCAAGCTATCCTGAAAGCAATACGCACAGGAGTCTGGGGTTTCTGGGGTTTGGACTTTTGGCAATTTCACTTTTTCTTAGTTTATGTGCCCTCAGCCAAGTTCTCCAGTAGGGCTCATATTTTGGCGCTCAGTAAAACATACCAACTCCTTCTCTCACCACTCCCCCTTCACATCCCTGCCCATCTCTCTCTCCCACCTTTTTCCACTCTTGCTGCCCCCCTCCCTCCCTCCCTCCCTCCCTCCCTCCCTCCCTCCCTCCCTCCCTCCCTCCCTCCCTCCCTCCCTCCCTCCCTCCCTCCCTCCCTCCACTGTATCCTCAATTCCCCCTTTCCGCTCTCTCTTTTTTCCCCCCTTACTGCCCCAACTCCCTCTCTCCACTCCTCTCACCTACTCAACTGGCTTCCTTCCCACTTTCACACCTTCTTCCCTCATCTGCCAATCATCTCTCTCTTTAAGGTCACTCTCTCTTAACTGACTGTCCTCCTCATCTCTTCTCTGACATTACTCGTTGATGCTCCACACACCCTATCTCTCCTCTGTCCTCTTCCTCTCCTTCTTTCCTGGACAGAAACACAGAGTTGGTCTCTAAGACACAAGGCTTATGTGATTCTACAGGCCACAATCATCACTTTCTATGACTTCTCTTCTCATCCCTGTCCCTGTACCACAGTCAAACAGAGTGGGATTAGGTGACGCTGAGTGAAAACAACTGGCATGTGTAAGATTACGTCATGAGAGATGGTTCTGCTCTCGCTCAATGGGTTTGAAGCCCTGCCATCGACTAAATGAAAATCATGGTGCTGCAAGGAAATTCCATCAATCATGATCAGGACTGAACCTCACATTTTTCTATTTTCCTCTAAACTACATATTGTTGGATGCCAGTTCGCACACATCTGTTGAAGTACCAGCAACATGGGCCAGTCATGTTTAGTCTGTAACTCCTTGTTAAAAATATCCAGACTTTTTTGTTGAACAAGTCAACCCGCCATGTTTTCACTAGAGTGAAAAACAGATGGGCACCAGGTTTAAGGAGGATGCCTTTCCTTGCAATATTAATGATGCATATTTCATAATAGGCTTTATGAACTGTGTAACATTTTTGCAAGACAAAAAACCCATGGTTTTATTGCAGCTTGCTTGTGGACATTATAGGCATACCATCCCATTTCAAAGACAAGGCCAACCTGATGGGTTTAATAATCCATATCAGATCAGATCAAAGCACAACTCACTGAAATCACAGAAAAACTCTGTTTGATTTGAATTAAACCAATTCCATGAAAATCCTTTTCCATGATATAAATGGGACTGTGAAGCATCTGTTTTGCTACAAACCAACTGCTCATATTTCTGGGGCTTCACAATTATGTGGACTTGCTTCTGGCAAAACATGTAACCCTATACCAACAACTTTTATAATACGCAATTAAAATGAAAGAGGACATACAGTAATAAATGTAGAGAGGGTATTCCTAAGATTGCCAAACAGATATGGCTTTCATAACGTTCAGAATTGTTCCACTTTAATGAGAACTAAATGTTTACATAGAAGCTAGCAGTTGTACTGATTATAGTTGTGAATACTCTCTCTCTGTGAAAGGGTTCTTCTTTAGACAACTCTGAGAAATGATTAAAGAAACCAATCTGTCATGAAAACAAAGAAGTTTCCCAACAGGACAAATACCAACACATTATATATCATCTTTTGCAAGGGGTTAAATATGTGTAAAAACTATAGTACGCAGATTTGTTTATGTGAGAATGGGTGTGGATGTGTGGGACTGACTGTGTGTGGTAAATCGTTTTTAGGCTCCTGGATTACGATTCCCTGGCTTTGCCCTACCTGGTAAGCCTTTCAGAAGAAAGAGAACTAAACAGTCCAAATGATGCCATTTGTTTTGTTTTAAAGATACATTAAGGGTTTCTTAACATGATCAGTGGTCTGGCTGCAGTTTGACATTTAATCCGCAAGTGGAAAAGCCTGACAAGGAAAGCTTTCCACTGGAGTGAAATGTTGGAAGCGCTTCTAGCAATAGGAAAATCAAAAGCTACTCCACCTGTGGATATTGGGTGGCATCGTATAATCCAAGTCAAATATGTGACAAATAAAACATTCATGTCTTTTTTATTGCATAGAACTAAAACGTTTATAGACAAATGTCTCAGATCACTTTTATTAAAGCTGTCCAAGACCTTCTATGCTGTCTCTACAACTCTTTCAAGTTGCCAACAATTGTCACATAGTATTTGAGGAGTCACACAGACTCTAGCAGTGTGTATCTGTGGGTACACGTCAACAAACATTCTAGGGTCTTATCCATACCATACAGAGTGCACCCCTCTTAAATCTGTGATCACCCTTCATTTAAGCAACTGACCAACGAGGTTGATTGACCGGGGATGTTCTGAAATGGGAGTGACAAGACGCCACTGGTCTGTACCTGAAACACTGTGTATCATTTCCAGAGAGCTACAAAGCCTGTTTAGACAATCACTTCCAGTTACGGGATTACAAAAGGCGACTTTTGGAACGGCCTCAGTTATAAAAGGAAGGCTGAGATCCCATTGCTTATGTTGTTAATGGCACACACAAAGACTGGGGCGAGAACCAGCAGGGAGTGTGTAACTTTGTTATTACTGCACAGCATTTCTAGGGAGCAAGAGAGCGAGAGACAGTCTGTGCCAAGCTCGCCTACTGGCATTCAGCTTGTCTGTTTGTTTTGGCTGTGCTGGGCCTGTGCCCCTTTTGCCAATGTGAGTGAAGCGCCACATCAGCAAATTGAAAAGCTCTTAGAAAGGTGGTAGACCACTGAAACTTGCCTCATTGTTCACAACCTCATTTATCTCAACATCCACCCACTTCACCCACTAGGGGGCTCCACTTGGTTCTAACATATACACACACTTGCAAAATTGACCCATCTCAATATCTTTCCTTATTTTCCCTAAAAACATGCCCAATCCACATGACGCACGCGCGCGCACACACACACACACACACACACACACACACACACACACACACACACACACACACACACACACACACACACACACACACACACACACACACACAGCTCAGCCCACCTGAGCCCACCCAATCTGTGTGAGGTCAAAGAGTAAATCCCTGCAGCTGAATGGAGCTTTTGTTTCCCCCTGGTGTCTGAGTGGCGTGCATCATCAGTCGATGAGCAGGTTCTGACCTGCAGAACAGCTTCAGAGAGAGAGAGAGATGGGGAGAGAGAGGGAGAAAGTAGAGAGAGAGAGAAAGAGAGAGTGAGAGAGAGAGAGAGATCTAGCACTCCAATGTGAGTGATGTGTGTTGTAGTAATGCACTGCGTATTCATGTGCTGTACAGGCTGAGTGAATGAGCATAGGAGTTACTATAGGACGAGCACGTGACGGTTTACTACACTGCCGGTGTCCTATTGGAGGAAGCATATTAAACCTTGTTTGTTTTTCTTTGAGGTGGTTTTTCCAGCATTAGGGCCTGCAGTGTTCTTGTGTAATCTATAGATTTACTGATGTGAAACATAGGTTTTTGGACTTGTTCTATACTCGCTTAGTTGATTCAATAGATAATACAACCAGTTTAATCTGTTTTTTTGGTACAAAAAGAGAGAACCAAAAAAATCTACAAAGTGCATGGGACTGTCTGGGACATACAGTATAATTATGTCCATTATTTGCGGCAGAAGGACTGACAGCCAGGGATGCTCCTCAACCAGAGGATGTCTGTACATCCCCTTCCCCCTGACCCTCCTGACTCCACTGTGGCTGGTTCACTGGGGAGCTAGCCTTGCCCGATTGGATCTGCTGGGTCGTGGGACCCCCTCAGCCCTCTCCGTCTCAGCCTCAGGAACTCCACTGACCTCCCCAGTCTGGCAGCCAAGTGGTGGGCCAGGACTCAGGAGCAGCACAGGAGAGCAGTAACCTTACTGTACTGCACAATGCACCACCACACATGCAATAAATGCTAGCAGTTAACAACTAAAAATCAGAAGAAAGAACACAAAGCACAATTCCCCACTCGGAAAGAAAACCAGAATAAAAACACACAGAGCGCTGCTAAGGGTCCACTTACTCACGCGAACAGTGAGAAGGGCTAAAAAAAAGGTGTTGGATCATCCAGATTTTGGCTTGGATTGACCTGCCTCTCTGTTTTGGAGAGTGTGCCTGTCTATGTGTGAGAGAGGCGGTAGGGCTACACAGTAGGTAGAAGCAGTGTGTTTGTCATGAGGGCTGATATTTAGTCTGTTTTCATTTGTTTGGTCGTTTGATGGACAGCTTTGTTTGCCTGGGAGCTTGTTCAGAGACTTGAGCCTGAGCAGCGTTCATAATGTGTGTGTGCTTGTTAATGTCTGTTTCTATAATAATAATAATAATAATATGCCATTTAGCAGACGCTTTTATCCAAAGCGACTTACAGTCATGCGTGCATACATTTTTTTTCTAGATGGGCATTCACTTATGTGTGTGTTGTACTGTATGTGTGTATTTGTGTGTGCTGTGTGAGCACTTTCCAAGAGGAGGCAGGCAGGGGGGTGTGTGCTCGGGGGGCCCCTTTCCCCCCTAAAAGTGTTGCGTGACTAGAGTGGACGGATGGGCTGGGGAGAGGCCACATCCTGGGATTTTCCTGCGGCAGCTGCTCAGATAAGGGAAACGCTCTTGTCGGTATTGCTTACAAAAGCCCTAGGGGTCCATGCGGGAGGAGGGAGGATGTGTGTGTGAAAGTGTGTATGTGTGCGTGCGTGTGTGTGTGTGTGTGTGTGTGTGTGTGTGTGTGTTTGTGCAGGCTGCTAGATCAGTCCTGCAGCTTGCAATGAGAAAACCTGTCTTTTGGCACAGACCCAAGGTTTAACACAATCAAAACCCGACACTGCCAGACAGTCGGTTGGACTGTTTTTACAAGCGTCATTTT